GGTGGGGGGGGAGAGGAGAGAGAATGTGTATGTGTGTGGTTTGGTTTGTTTTTTGACACAGGGTATTGTTATGTAGTTCAGACTGATCTCGAACTCACATGTAGCCCAGGCTGGCCTTGAACTTTTGACCTGAGTAGCTCAATTGGAGTTCTGATTTGTAAGGTTTATCTGACAGTAGACTGCAGTTGCGTCTTGGAGGGAAGTAAACCAGTACAGAGAACTAGAGATAAGGAAGGTAGGTGAGTGATGAAGGCCTGAGCTGGGAAATGGAAAGAAAAAGACATTGAGGAGAAAGGGTTGACAGAATTGGAGAACTGACTGCATATAGTGGTGGCAAGGAAGAACGTGAAGGGGAAATGATGGGTCTGAGTAATGGTGTTATAGGATTTAAGGACATCTGGAGAGGAGTTGGCATTGGATCTCTTTAGGGGACTTCGTTCAGGAGACAGGAGAGATTTATAATCATCCGATAGGTGGGCTAGGTTTGAGTAGATGACTAGGGGAACGTGGAAGGGGCAGAAAAGAAAAATTTGAAACAAAATGTAGGACAATTATCTATATAACGGATAAGAAGAAGAATGAAAAATTAGCTAACAGTTGTATAGTTCTTACCTAGGCACATTTTTAAGTGGCTTCCTTGTATTTTTCCACATAGAGGTAGAACACAGGTTAGTATGGTGCCTTTCCATAGAAGCCAGTTGTAGAGCAGTTGAGACTGAGGGTTGGCAGAGAACTGCTGCATTTAGTGCTTAGGCAGCTTTGGTCTTGAGCTGAAGGTAGATTATTGTACTATGATTTTAGGAAGGTGTGGGAGACAAAATGGACAAAAAGAGTTGACCTTGGGCTGGTGGTATAACACCAGATGCCTTTTGTGTGCCTAGCATGAGCTTTATAGGTAAAGGATAAATGGAATGCTTAAATCCTCATTTTTCTTTTGCGTCCATTGCAAAAAGGATTATTTTTTGGGCAGATAGAACAAAGTAAACTGTTTGTTGTGAAGAAAAGCCCTCAGCAAGTCCCGAACATAAGTAGCTCACTGTTAGTTCCCTTTGCTTGTTAGAATCACATTCCTTGGCCCTGAAGGAGCCAGAGCACAAAACCACTGTTTATCTCTGAGGAGAAAAGAAAACACACGGAGAGGGTGTGGGAGAACATCTAGAGGGTCATAGAGTAGTAAATATGGTGTCAAATTTGGGCAAAGTTCTAGGATTTTTCATGTAGTTACAGTGTAGCTAAAAGTACAGCTTTTGGGTCACAGTTTTGCCAGTGTTTGACTCTGAATTTGAGAGATGATTTAACCTTTACACCTGGTTTTATCCATCAGTCAAAAGGGGTGTAACGACCCCACTTATCGGGGAATTGACAGAATCCGGTAAGATTAAACACAAATTCTGGTACGGGATTGGACATAAGCATTCAGCAGGTGGCAGCTCTGTTAATAACCAGTGGAAGTCTGAGCACTTCAAAGAAACCATTGAGTTTATGCTTGGAAAGGCCAGTGGCTGTTTCACCTGTGAATGTTGTTTCCTTTGATGTTTTCTAGGTTAACAAATATAGGGCATATTCGTTAAAATAGCAGAAACAGTGCAAATACATTCACAGGCAAAAGTAGTTTTCTCCTCCACCTCAAATGTTTTTAATGATTTTCATTGCTTACATAAAAATATTTACACAAAATTTATAAAGACTTGGTTTTTATTTTATTTATTTAGTTTTGGTACCGGGGATCGAATTTGGACCCTTGTGCTTGCGAAGCAGGTGCTGGAACCACTGAGCTAAATCCCCGGCCCTATAAAGACTTGCTTTTTGCTTTTTACTGTTGTCCAGTCTGGCCTCAAATCCCTGAGCTCAAGTGATTGCCTTCTCCTGCCTCTGTCTCATGTGTAGCTGAGATTACAGGTACACACTTCTGTGCCTGGCTAGAACTAGTTTTTACACATTATTTGCAATTTGTTTTTCACGTAAGAGATAATAGATCTGACAGTTGTTAATGTAGCCGCACATTCTCATATATAATTTTGACTGTTTTTTAAAATGTGATTTTTTTACTCTCTTCCCTTCTTCGTTGATAATCACATATATCTCCTTCCCTGTTTTTCTCCACATTCATGTACCTGTGTATTCATGTACAGATGTTAACAAAAATGAGGTTTTATCATACACATCTTTTGTCTTTTTATTAACCCTAATGGAAAGTTCTGAGAGAATTATTGTAACTCAGCTAAGCAGTACTTCTTGTCATTCTTAAATTTCCCCATGTGATTCAGGAAAGTGACATTTCACTTTGATTATATTTCTCTGTTTTAACTGTGATCATGTTTTCCTTTGTTTAAAGATCATCTGATTTTTTTCCTTCTATGATTTGTTTTTCTACATTTTCTTTTTGGTTGTCTTTCCTTATCAATGTGTAAACATTGCTCTATAATGTAGATATTAATTCTTCTGTGCTATCTTTTGACTGAACTTTTTTGCCATGCAAGGTGTTCTGATTTCTCTCTTAGAGCTTTTGGTTTTCTTCTCTTGATTAAAATCTTCCCTGCCCTAAGTTGTATATATGGTTTCCTAGAGTTTTCTCCTAAGACTTAAAAAGAATTTTTCTTTTTCTTTTTGGTACCAGGGATCGAACTCAGGTCCTTGCTCTTCCAAGGCAGGCACCAGGACCACTGAGCTAAATACCCAGACCTTAAAAAGAAAAAAAAAATTTTGTTTTGAGACAGGGTCGCACTATGTAGTTGACACTGACCTGGAACTCACTATGTAGACCAGGCTGGTCTCGAACTCATAGCAGTCCTCCTGCCTCAGCCTCCTGAGTGCTAGGATTGCATGCATACGCCTGGCTAAAGAGAATTTTTAAATTAAATTTATCTGGAATTTGTTTGTATGTGTTATATGAGAGAGGAATTATAATGCTTTTCCTTTCTGGTTGGAGAATTGTATATGAAATACATCCAGTAAATTGAAATGTTACCTTTATACATCAGTGACCTTATAATATGTTAATAATTTTTTAGTATGACTTTAATTCATCTGGAATGGTATAAAATTTATTAACTTGAAAAAGCCATTAAGCTTTCCCATCTAGGAATGTAGGAATGCTTTTCATTTGTTCAGATTTGGGGACCTTAACTAAGATGTCATAATTTTCTACACGTCATGTGTCTTATTTTTTTCCTTAAGCATTTTGTTTTATTTTTTATTTTTAACTTACTATTTTTTACTGTTTTTCTTTTGTTGTTTTTTTTTTTGAGGCAGAGTCTCACAATATAGTTCAGACTGGCCTCCTTGAAATCACTATGTAGCCCAGGCGGGCCTCAAACTCAGGGTAAACCTCCTGCCTCAGCCTCCAGAGAGCTGAGATTACAGCAGGCTTGCTCCATGTGCCTTAATGGCAGCATTTTATTTATTCTTTCCTTCCTTCATTCCTTCAGTGCCTGACACTATTATTGTCTTTATGTATCTGTGTTGAGGGAAGGGTGTGCTGCAGATTTTTCAAAGGGCCTTATGCATGCCAGGCTAGAATTTATATTAGAATGTATTATGCTGTAAAGATGTTTGGAGTGGTCTTGCTGTAATCCTGTTGTGTTTTGTTGTCCCTGCTGTAGCATAATGAGTTCTTATATAGTGGAATTAAAAACTCCAGAGCAGGGCCTCTTGGTGGATGCCTGTAATTCTTTTCCTTTCTATTTGCATAAGAAAGGAATGCAGAGAACTGTGTATTTAATCAGATGATGTTACCACCCAGTTCTGCTACATTTAGTAATCTTTCTATATCATTGGGGAATAGGTTCCAAAAACTCCAGTGTGAATCTTTGCCAAGTCCTAAATGCATTATGTTTTGTGTTTTTTTTTTCCTTGTACATACATAATAATGATGCTTTTTGGGCCACTATTAAGTAAAATAAGGTTTTACTTGAATGCCAGCACTGTGATGCTTAGGCAGTTGATGTGGTAATGAAGATGGCTACTAAGTAACAGTGGGTGGCAGAAACAATGTAGATACATGAGGCAAAGGAATGACCCTGTCTTGGTCTGTAAGGATGAGACATCATGCTGCTCAGAACCGAATGCACTTTTAAACTTAGGAATTGTTTATCTGAAAATTTGCATTGAATGTTTTGGACCATGAGTTAACTGAAACTTCTCTAGGAGCCAGCACCAGAAGTGATCTCTGCTGATTGGCTTTTTCTTGGTATGAGGGATTGAACTCAGGATCTTGTGCTTGCAAGGCAGACAGGACTCTTGCGCTAAATCCCTGGCCCCCAGTAGTTGGAATTTAGGATAATTTGACTGAAATTATTTGATTCTTGCCTTTCCTTTCTCTTCATTTTAGTAACTATGGAAATACACTGTGCAATGCCTAGAGAATATGTTGGGGAAAACTAGACCTGGATATATATATATCAACATTTCCCAAGCTTTTATCTTAGGATCCTTTATACTTTTAGGATCTTCAAAGACTTTTGTTTGTGTGGCTATATCTATGGATATTTAGTCATTTAGAAGTTAAAGCATAGTTTTTAAAGCTTATTTAAAAAGTTATAATGTATTTATTACATAATTATATGAATGTTTTATTTTAAAAAACCAAAAATGAGAATGACATTGTTTTAGATGTTTTACAGATCTCTTTAATGTTTGCCTAGGTATAAATTTGCTAGATTCTCATATTTGCTTCTGCATTCCCTTTGTTTCAGTAATCATAGGTTAAGGGTTGGGGATTTATCTCAGTGGCACCACGTGCAAGCGCAAGGTCCTGTGTTCTATCCCCAGTACAAAATCATCATCATCATCATCACAGATTATATAGCCTCAGGAAAACTCAGATAATGAAAATAAAAAGGACAAAAACCATTGAAATGAAAATAGATGTGACCTCACGGAAACCCCAAAAGGGCACAGTCCCCCGTCACCCCTTCACTTGCCCAACTACTGATATGTTTTGTTCTGTTTGTGGTACTGGGGATGAAACCTGGGGCCTAGCACGTAGAGGACAGTAATCACTCATACATATGTATATATATATTCACTCACTCATATATATAGCTCACACTTAGGAGCTGGGGTGGTCCCTGATATGTGGCACAGTTTTCACCAGCTCTTTCTTTGTTTCGTTGCAGAGTCATTTGGGCAGAACTATCCAGAGGTAAGAGTACAATTTTCTCATGATTTGGAGAACATGAGAACTACCTGGTAATTGTGTCTGGTAACCGTGAAGCAGTAGATGTGATCTCTTCCAGTGGAATCAGATGTTTAACTTTGAACAGGGGGAAAGAGATGCTGGCTGGAAAGCTCACCATAAAGCTGTAAATCTTAGAGTTCATTTTCCTTTTATTAAAAACATTAATTGAAGGGTTTTTCACAAAAGATAAAAACAGCTACACATAGATTTTTTTTTGATGTGCTTTTCCAGTTTTAATCAATATTTTTACATAGTAATAATTTATGTCAGTATGCTTTGTGACACTTGAATATGTTTCATTTTGATCATTGTTATTTTAAATGGCTTGATGCTGATATAAAATAATTTGATTTCTCTAATGTAATGTATATAGGCTGTTCCTTGTTTTTTTTTTTTTTTTTTTTTTT